AGGCATGGCAAAGCCAATCCTTCCGGTTCAGAAGGCTTTGCTTGCCTTGTGGTGGTCACAAGAACCTTCAGGGATAGGCGAGAGTCAGAAACGTCTCGAAATCGAGTGCCACTTGCAGAATCAATCCCGACCAAAAGACAAGCAATGATGGTGGCACCATGAACAGGATGAAGGCGAGCTGTGTGGGCTTCGAGACAAGCATTGTGCCACCAGAGCGTCATGCCCCCAGCTGCGCCATGCACGACACAACTCACCGCGAACAGGGGAGGCTCCCAGAACTGAGAACCAGAATGGCCAAGGACAAATCTTCATGGGGCACTTTCTGGAACCTCAAGATCGAGATGCGCACATGGAGGACGTTGAAGACTGATTTGCATTCTCGACCTCGGAAACTATCATTCAAGCACAGCAGAAGCCTGCCATAGAATGCAGTTGCTCTGGGACTGCGACCCTTCAGCTGCTCCTGACGTGATGGCATCACTTATCACCATTCACTGCGCCACTGCGCTTCGCCCACGGAAGTTTGCACGCAAGTGGCTCCGTAATTGACGTGATCTTCTGCATTCGACCACGCCAGAAGTCCAGTTCACTGCGAGGTCCTGGCCTGTCACTGTCAGCGACTATGACATAATACTACGCCACACTCAGCCAAAGCACATTCCCTGTTGCTCGGAGGCCGACTCTTGCACTGCACTGTGCTGGTCTAGGCCTCAAGACCGAGAGGCGTCTAAGACGTTCATGTGCGCAGACACCCTGACAATCTGAGGCACTGTCCATCCTCAAGGTACCGCTCAATGTCTCGGCACCAAGTCTGACAACATGTGCTTTGGGAGGTGGCGGGCCGGGAGCGGCTTGGGATGGCTCGGGAGAGTCGGCGCTGGCATGTGCTTTCACTTCTCCAGGCTGCAGCTTCTCGCGGCTCAACCGTCTCGTGCTGTGTTGTCAGGCTGCACCGAGCCTCGAGAAGTGCTCCATACTCCCCAATGACCTAGGTGACGCGCCGACTAACTCTTCGATTTCGAAAGCCAATTTCATGTGCAAATTGGCCTCAGGGTGCTCCCTCACCAAATCCTTCAGGTGGAAGGTCATGGAGGGTGACAGTCTGGGAATTTCCGTGTCAGACTTGAACTTTGGCTTTGAGCTCTTGCTCTGTGCAAGCACATGTGCTCGTGCCATGGCTCCATCCCCCTGAAGCCATGAAGTGATGTGCCCGATACAACGCCTAAAGAGGTGGATGGGCAGATCCCGCCAAAGGCGAATTAAGATCAGCCTCTCTGCCAACTGTTCATCGGCCAAAGGCTGCATCTCTCTGGGCGTCTGGGCATCAGAAAAGCCGTCACCGACGCCGGTCGCGCGGCCGCGCGTCGGCTCAGTCAGTCTGCGGAAGTGCGGGCACCGGTAAAAGCCCTGCACGGCCTTCGGACGCGCAAAACAAAAACCAACCGAAGACAAAGCACCAACTTTGGGCTCCGTGCGGCAGTTCTCCAGCAGCCAGGCGGATAGCCAAAGCCCCACCACAGCCGCCAGCAGCAGTAAAAGACACCTCCAAAGAAGGACACTGTTTCCTCAGTTTCGTCGCCCCTGTGAACCCAAAAGTGGGGTTTGTGCGGCGATGGACGCCGAGAGTGTTGAATACCCTTCTTAAACCCTAAAGATGTGCGTCGGCTTGCGCTGGATAAAGCAGCTCTGAAGAAGAGAAAGCTTCGGCGAGTGAAACCGAACCCTTCAGAAAAGTGATGCGGCAGGGCGAGGGCGGCGACACCTGAAATTCAAAGAGTATCCTGATAGAGAGACAAGCATGCGCAAAGCCTAAAAGGGGTGGATGGAGAAACTGCAAAGCCTGAAAAGCTCGCCGCTGGCCAAACCGAAAACCATAAACATATACTAGGGCGCAACACTGAGCCCGAAAACGCGGTGAAATCCCAATGCTGGAAAATGCTGGACTGTCAAAGCGAGCACTGAAAGAAGTGCCCACACCCGAACCCTGACAAGGGGTGCTGGGAGTCAAAATCCTTTGAAGCAGGGCTCTGTAGCTGTGCCGGCGGAAGTGCTGGAGGCCGGCAACCGAATTTGAAACCCCAAGAGTGCGGGCAGAGAAGCCCGAACATCCAAACAGTGTGTATCGGATGCAAACCGCTACGCCCTGAATGGCATACCGATACCCTAAACCTGACCTGAGTGTAGAACGGCGCAACCCATCGCAACCGCAAGCTAAGTGTGCCGAACGGTGAAACAAGGGGAGAATTGAAACCGTGAAGGTATTGGAACCTGACGACATTCCAAAATGAGTCACGGGTGGTGAAATGAAGAGCTTGCATGGAGTGCCTAGTGGCGAGGCCGGACACGAAAAAAGAGCACCGGATGATGAAACCGCGAGCCTAGATGGCTTAACAAGTAGCGAAAAATTACGTAGAAGTACAAGAAAAGTACACGAAACAACTATTGTATGACGGCACAGCCTGCAATCTAGCGAAACACTACTCCAAACCTGCAACCCTAAAAGTAGAGAGCGGCGAAGCGCTAAACGTAATGCAACATGCGAAAAACTAAACGCGAACAAAAATGCAGCGCCAGTACTCCAGGCCATTGCCATAGACCCTAGACTCTAGACGGAGAGTGAAGAAACCTCGAGGCCGGAAAGGCATGCAAGTCAGGTGAAAAAAGCTGAAACAGAAGCCAGTGAAGCCTGCAGGTTTACCGAAATGCCAAGCTAGGAAACCCGCTAAACGGACAGCTTGTACCACTTCCAGTTCAAGTCCACCCCGAGTGTCATCATGCTTTGCAAGGGATCGCAAACCCACAGTTCCAAGATTTGCTCATGATTTCTCACGAGCAGGGTGTCACTGTGACTTCAGCTTACCTTAGAAAGGCATGGACCGCCACCTGCTCATAGGCTTTCGGTCAACGGAACTGAGTTACACAATTCCGCGAGACACGAGCATGATCATGTGTCTTGTGTCAAAGTTGTCGACCAACATCGAGGATTGAACTGGTCATCTCGTAGCCCAGTCTAGAAATTTGTCAATCTCGGAGGTCAAGCCCGGGGCGATGTGGGTCGTGTGCATTTACCGGGCGAAACCCTGACCCTGAAAGGAACCGCAAGGTGGCAAAACCTTGGGCCCTTTCGTAAGATGATCTTAATAATTGGCGGTACGTTGCAAAACGAACCCCTATAACACACGAAGGACTTTCTCGTGACTGATCCCCAAAACCCGAACAACCAGCGGTGGCCAACACCCCTCACGAGGATGTGCTCTGTCGAAACCTTAAATCCTGAAAGTAATGCCGGTTCAAAACCGGAAACCCGAAAGCGAACGTAGCTGTTGTCTCGCACAGGAAATGCGAATGGATGCTTTAGCTGTAAACAAACACTTAAACTTAAACACCCTTCGGTGGATGGCACGAAAAGCGGTCACAAGTACCGTGTTGTCGCTCGAACCCTTGACTCCATGCAAAGTTTGGTGTGCGACAGAGTCCAGAGGCCCCTGGTTGTGCACATTCGCGGCATGACAAGGTCGAGAGCCCCCGGCCCAGCCTGCTGCAGCAACGACAGCAGCTTTCGCGCTCCTCGGGCTCCTCCGGACGTCGTGAAGTCTCTTCTCAATGCTACAGTATTCAGCTGATCAGCAATCCTCCGAATCGCTGTCAGCTTCGTCATCCAGCGAGGGTGAATCCTGAAAGAGCTTCATCCTGCACCCCAGAGCACCGGCACCCGATATGCATGAACTAGCAGCACAAAACCCGCAAGTGCAAGGTCCTAGCTTCGTCGCGTGAAGTGTTCGGAGTAGCCTCCAACCACGTACCCGGTATCCGGGTGCTTTTGTCATGCACTCCTCGAACCTGCTTGGGCGACTTGGTCACAGACTCCTCGAGACACTGCGCCTGTCGCACTTCACACGAGGACACATCCACAAGCAGCTGGGTGCCCTCCCATCCCAGAGATGCCTTCACAGTCCGGCCAGTCAGCTTGCCAAGCATTCTTACCTGGGACATAAGATCTCCAGCCTCTGGTCATCTACCAGTCTCGGCGTCAGTCCGCACCAAGCAATGGTGAAGCTTCCTGCTGCCGACATAGGCACCATAGATGGAACCAGCCTGTCCCAGTCCTGGCTCACCTTGACATCGGAGTGGCATTGGGTAGCGGGGCATACGCGTGACCCTACATGCTGCCGAGATTCAGCGAATCGAACCATGGTCTCGGCATCCTCCTTGCTCGCAGCACAGCGCCTCGGAACCAATCTTGCACGTAACTTGCCGCTCAGCCTTCTCAACAAAACTTGCTGCAGCCTCAGACCTCCCCAGACCATCAACCTTGCAGCCTTGCGGAGAAGGCGCTGCGATGGTTCGGGCAGCTGAAATGTCCTCGGCAGTACATCACCCTGTGTTCACGTCCAATGCGACGAAAACCTTGGGCAACCGCTTCACTGCCTCATCGGCGAGTCGACGATGGTCGGCCTGGCACATACACGGACTGCACGGCTGCGTCAAGTTAACCGATGCAATGCCTGCTTGTGTCGCGCCTCAAAGAGGTGAGCAAAGTGTATGTCTGACTCCTTGACCTGGCAACGAACGGAGCTTCACTTTCTCCACTTCGTTGTATCACTCGACTTGCTGAAAGTGCCCCGCCGACCTGCCCGACCACCATCAGGCCTTTGACCAGTGCCTTAGATCAGGTTCTCTATCTGCCTTAGCTAGCCTCAAACAGAGCGCGCCATTCAGCGAGTTTTCCTCTGACTCTGACTGCTTTGCAGTGCTAGCACCAATAACTGATAGATGGCTTGTCGGCCCATCTGGGGCAAGAAGCCAATTAAGCTCAAACAGGCCTTGCTACCAAGCGCCTCATGTTTAACACGAGGATTCGACAACGATGTCAGCAAGCCAATTCTGGCGGTGCATAGCTCAGCTCCATGGTGTCTCACGGTGAGATCCGGGAGAAAACCAGCGTGGCACCATCATTTACCCAATTCCAAGAATTGGAGGTAGCTGGCGCTGAGCGCCAATCACACCTAGTCGGAGCCATGACTGAATGTGATCGCAGTCAGACCTGAAACAATGCAAAATCCAACGGGCGGTGGTAGCACGATCTAGAACCCAACAGATCCCCCAGGACTGTGGACTTCGAGAAGATCCGAACTTTCAACAAGGCAAAGTGATGCATCGGCACGCTTTGTCAATGCGGTAGGTTGTCAGGGCTTGCAAGTTGTTGCCATGCCGCCTCGTCGACGTAGTCCAAATCGACCACATCGTCATTGGCTAAGTCAAGGAAATCCTGCACTTGGTGGCAGTTGTAGGACAAGCCCACGGAATCTGGTGCAGGCGAACAAGCCTCAACGTGCAGCATGAGGGAGCAGATGGCCTGAGGAAACGAACTGTGGAAGGTTTGTAAAGTCGAAATGTCATGGCGACTATGCCCTTTTTGGTAGCGTTTCGCTATTTCTTCTGATTCCTCGCCATGAAACTAGGAGGAGACCGAAGACATTAGTCTCAAGGAAACAGCCATGACGATCCAGTCCTACTATGAAATCTTGATGAAAAGCTCCCTTCATTCGTCGAACCTTCACTGTAGACCCTCGCTGCCACACATGGAATCCCGAGGCCGCTGGGGCTCGTCGTCCCACCGCACTTTAGCTCAAACTTGTAATTGAAGGCCTCTTCCGACACCTCTTGCGCCGCTTTGAGCTGGCACCTGTGCGACCGCCGATGTCACCCAGCCAAGCGAAGCAACAGCATGTTCATGGAGGGCACAGATCCTATGTGTGCAATTTTGAGCTAAAGTCGCATAGTGTGGTCGTCATTCTCTGGGCATGTCTCATCTTCGGAGTCGGAGTAGTGGATCAGGAGCCCCACCGCCTGTACAGGAGGGTCACTGACACCGTCTCCATGGCTGAAATCACAGTGACTGCTCACCTCTTCGCAGGTCACAGCCACCTGAAGGCAGCTTCGGTGTCGCTCAGTAGCCATCTACATGAACCAGAACTGACGATGCATAGCCACTGTGCGGAAACCGCCTTCGAGCTGCCAGATGTAGCCACCGAGCATGCAGATAGCATGCCAGACCTCACACTCGACGAGGAGCTGACACATGGACAGGGTGTCCTTTCATCGGCAGAGCTGGGAAATGGACCTGCGACATTCATCCAGCTCGTCTAGTTAGTGGCAATGTGAGGCATTGGAGCTCCTCTGGCCGCATTCATCGGACCTGGAATCCGTGGCTTGGCCTTGCGCGGCCCGTCTCAAACTCGTTGCCACCTCTGCACGGTGCACATCTCTGAATTCGCAGGCGCACAACCCGCAAAAAGCGCTGCTCACTTCTCCATCGTGCCTGGCACAAATGGGATTCCACCTCCGCCTCCACCTGCGATTGAAAATCAATATTAAAAGAATCGCCTCCCTTCAACACTTTTGCACCGAAGCCTTGAGGGTCTCAGGGCCCGTCGGCAACCACATGTCTTCTGCAGCACGTCTAAGACTTTCAGCAACCTGCAGCCATTGCATGACAAACAAAGCCATGTCCCTGGTTGCTTCAGAAGCACCCTGCGACGAGCACGTTGAAAGTCGTCTGCTTCCTGCAGGAACACAGCCAACAACTGTTTGCATCTTTACGCTTGAGGAAGACATGCAACAAAAGCAACTCAGAGTGTGCGTTTGCTCTCGACCACGCAACTCAACACAGCAAAGGTTTCGAGTCATGTCAATCAACAGCAGGACTATTTCCGTAGCCTACTGTATAATCCAAAAGCTTGCCAACTGCGTTGGCTTTGAATAAAGCTTCCCTACCAGCCCGACTGACACACGAACTGCCTCGTTGCTGGACGTCCCTTTATCTAAAGCCTTGGGTTCATGATCGTTTTGCGATAATTACACTCCCTTCTGACCTCATCCTGTCGCGTACAGTACGATCGGCCAATCAGCAGCCGAGAGAGCTCAGAAAACTCCTTCTCCGCTGCGCGCAGATCTTCCCAGCCGGACTCCGCAGCCTGCTTGAGGCATTCAGCCACCTGGGCTGTCCGTGGAACGACAAGCCAGGAACGTTTCACACACCCATCCTGCCTTTCGACGAGACTGCTCAAATTCGTCATCCTCAGTTCAGCTCATCGCCCCCTACTCGGGAGACACTGATCGATTGCATGCTCGATTGCAGAATGCATGCACTGCATTTGCTTTCAGAATGTCCTGAAGAGGAGCCTCATGCTCCCGCTCATCCCTTGCGGCTGGGGATGGCATCTCTCCAGCATCCTCCATGCATTCCATCACCTGCAGACTACAAGCGATCCCCACACAGCGTACACAGGAAGTGGCATTCGCAACTCGTTCTGCTGCGACAGGCCATAGCTGCCTCCGTGTTGCCGTCTTCCTCAAGAGTGTTTCACGCTTCTTCAACCCTGTGGTGTGCAAGACGTGGGCTCCGAGTTCCAGGCAGTTTCAGCGGTGTCTAAGACTTCAGATAAACCGGCTTCCACGGCACGGTTGATTCTGTGCTGGAACTCCGTTGAACAACCTTCGTGTCGCAGCACCTGCACCAGCACCTTCATAAAGGTATCTCCTCGGCAAGCACAGCTTGCTCCAGTCGGACTACACGTGCCCGAGTCTCGCAAGAAGCCAAGCTTCTCAAGCTGCTGCCCATGTGCTCTTGTGGCGACTGGACGTCCTCCTGCAACCGCAGCTTTTGCATCTGAAAAACAAACGTTGCGGCAGCGAGTCCATGCTCCTGCATGCTGCTTTCCACGGCGGGCCTTTGCTCCGCGTCGTCATCCCCTTCAGAACCTTCCCTTTGCTCTTGGACGAAGGTCTGGGTTGCATCCTTTCTCGACTCCTCAGCCTTTTCCTGCATGTCCTGCATATCCTCAGCCTCTCTTGACTCTAGAGTCTCGAAAGTCTCTAACGTGTCTAGAGTCTCTGGAAGCCGTGGCGGCGATATCTCCTCTGCCGCGACCAGCTCCTGCCCTGCATCCTTCTCACTGGGCCTCTGCCGACGCCGCCTCGGAGCTGTCGGAGCCGGCAGTTTCGGTGGAACGGGCACCTGCAGACTTGGGCTCACATGCTTTCTTCCAGGTCCGGCTACTGCAGGAGAGGTTCGTAGGCTCTCGGTGCCACCGCAGCAGCAGGCTCAGCCGGAACGACCAGACGCCGCCAACCGGGACCTGGCGGCTTCGAGCCGACCTCTGGCCTCTTGCAAAAGCCTAGCCGAGCTTGCCGTAGACACTGCGGCCCATGTCGGCATCTTTGGGCGGCTTGTGGACCTCCTGCACTCTACGAAACCAGGTCAGTTTTAGTCAACGACATCTCCCGCTGATCGAGGTCCGAATGGAAAGCTTGTCCCTGAAGTCCTACAGCTGGACTCCGGAGCTCTAGATGCTCGATGACAGAGAGTTCTACGGATCCCTGTCTTCAAGAACAACCCCGACTTGTCCAGCATTGAATACGTGTCGCAGATTGAAGCTCGAACCACACTCCGAAAGAAGACTGTCTGGCCTGCTGCAAGTTGTGACTGCCAGGCTTCACCATGGTAAAGTTATGCTCAATGTATGTCAGGCCATTGTCACCTTACGCGCAACACAGTAACAGTTTGACACAGGTCCCTCAGTTTCTCTTTCATGGCTAGCGCGGCTATTGCTCTCCTTTCTCACCAGCCCTTCGCTGTGGCCAGGTGGCTCTGCTGGCTCTGCAGGCCGGCTTCGCGCCTCCTTGGGACTTACTGCAGCTCCACAACCAAAGTCCCAAAAGCTGTTGGTTCCATTCCCTTCGCCTTCTGTCAACGGAGGGGAATACTCAAGTAACACTACTAGGTTTTGTCTTGCGCAGCTCTCAAGGCTTCATGGCCTTCCGGCTTCAACAGCTTCTGTCATCCAACAATGGTCGTGCGGTCGAAGACGCTGCCTCCTGTGTCGGGTCTCAAACCAGCGAAACTGGTCGGAGCTGGGGCGGTTGACAGCAACAACTTCTGCTTCCCCTTTCCCACACCCTTGCTGCTACTACTACACCCGAACTCCAGCAAGCTCTACAGTGTAGATAGATGTCCGATCCCGCAGCACACGTCGAGCAAGATAAAAGAGAGCAAAGGCAAAGTGCGGCTTAAGCACGAAGGTGGCGGAGATGGCGAAGCAGCCCATTCTCCTGCCCGGTGTTCGGCCACTAGCAGAGTGTCCAAATGGCAACAAGTGTAATTTCGCCTTGGAGATGCAAGAATTCGAGTCGACGCTGGACACGAGCAGCGCTCTAGTGGCCGCCAGCTCCCAGCTCCCAGAGTCTCCCCACATCTCCTCACCTCCCGAGCGGCGCCATCGTTGGCCAGTTCAGCACAGCGGGCGTAAGCATACCCCAAACGTAGCACACGCCTTGTCACAAAGTCAGCAGACCCCCACGCTTGGCCTGTCACCCCAGTCTCCCGCTTCCTTGTGAACTCGTGCAGCTCCGAAGCCGTTTCAGGATCAGTTGCTGCTGCGCTGCTGCGCTGCTGCTTCTGTCCTCCTACCCGTACCCGAGGGTCAGCCATTGTCCCCACGGCTAGTTATTCTGTCGGCGCAGTTCGAATTAAGTGACACTCTACCTGACAATGGACGGCACAGAAGCAGCACTGCCGGGTACTGTTGGGCCGTTTCCTGTGTGCATTTAGCAGGGTTTGGATGGGTTTGGAACAAGGTTTCTCCCTTGTAATCTCGCCGTCATACCTGATGTTGTGTGCCCACAGCTTCCGACGGCGCCAGCACCACTCAATCTGGACCTTTGTGCCCTGACACATGGAAGTACACTCACAAATGGAGTAGGCTTCTTGCGGCCCGCTGTGGATCGTGTCACGCTGCGGAAGCATTCTGAACCATTACCCCATGCGGCCCATGCGCGAACCTCGTCTGCCCTTCGGCCGCCTGCGCTTGCCACCAGCACTGAGAACGATGATCTTGATCTGACACGGGGGTGCTCGGAGCGTGACAGCGATGGAAAAACTACCTTTTGCCAAGATCCTTCGCATGGACATCGAAAAGAAAAGACAATCAACAGCCGTCGCTGACCTCGTCCTCTTGCCTAGTGCAGGGCGAGCACCAAGACACACAAAGAGGCACACAGACGCACACGGACCGAGAGGCATCGAGTATGTCACAGACAGGAATGGTCCGCAGCGACGTCACATGTCACGGCTTGCCGAGCTGCCCAGGATGCGACTTCAGCGGAGCCAGTCTCGCTTTGGCTTGAGGCTTTGTTGTCCAAAGCAGTGGCACGGTCTCGTGGTCAGCATTGCCCACATCTAACACGCGAGCAACCTAGAGAAACAGAGACAGATTTATCAATCAACCACGGAATGGCACAGCAATGCTTCCAAGACTCTGCAGGTGGGAGCAGCATTCGGCTTGCGGCTTCCGTGCATCAGGCGTGCCTTCGCAACTCGTAGGCAGTTCTGCAATTGAGGGGGTTGTGATGTTTTGCCTTCGTACGGTCCCGCCCACTCAGTACCCAAACCCCTCCTCCACCCAACCCCCCTTCACCCGGATCATGGACATTGGAATGGGATGAGCCACCCCTGATAATGAGAGGGCCGATTTCAGATATGGACAATACGGGCTCAACCGCCATGTTCGCAGCGATTTGCGGATTTCAGAAGTGAGACGATATGGGATCGAACCTTCGAACTCGGCGTGTTTCAAACCTTCAAGCGGTTGAAACTTCCAACCGTCGAACACTCAAACTCTCGAACTTTCGGACTCTCAAACTCTCCCAAGCTCTAAAAGTTTGAACCTTTCCAAGTATCAATCTCGCGACCGCAGCGAACTTAATTACTTTCGAATTTCAGCTTGAACCTTTCAACCCTTGGACCGTGCATCTAAAGCTTGCCAGTTTGAGAATCTGAAAAGCTGGACATCGACGAGCGAGCACGCACGCTCTCGCGCATACAAAGGTGCCCAAACTTTCGAACTCGCTGGGTTTCGGTGGTGACCCCTTTTGGGGGGGCCATCCCTCATACCAAAGCGGGAGGGGTGTGGGGACCCACCCCCGCCCCCCCGTTTGCAGATGCAAGGAGCTACAGTCTACGTAGTCGGATTTGCAGATGCGGCTGGCCTCAGGCAACTCCGGATGGCCGCTGAACCAGCTGTAAGCCAAGATTTGCGAGAAGGGCTGATGAGGGCTCTTGCAGCACTTGCGCCACCGCCACCGGTCGAGATCTTGGTCGCTGCGGCAGAAAGCCTACCCTGTCATAGTCGAAACTGCTAAAAGACCTGCCAGTGCCCGAGAATCTTTGGCCCCTGCAAGGGCAGCTGCAGGGGCATCAGAACCTGTCGGATTCCGGATGTTTGGCGACAGCCAGGGAGCTGACGAGACGACACCAAGGCTATGACTGTCAATGTAAACCGCCGCTTCGAGCGCTGACATCACGATGGTTTTCTTCATGTCTGCCTGTCATGCAAGGGCGGCAGGAAAAAAGATCACCCAGCCCATCTGGCCTGAGAGTGTTCGAGGACCATGTTCAGCTTCAGCTCTAGGTTAGTGAGCTGACCTCAGGGAAGGAAAAGGTCTGGCTGACGTTGCATCCCTGTGCCGCATCTTCCCGGCTTCTGGCCTATGGAGCTGCCCTGACTCAGCGACCTGCTTTCATCAAGCCAGGCAACAGATGCACAACTGCTACGGTATGCTAGAGCTGCACCTTGCCATGCTCTGCTGTTAAAGCTCAGGCCGTGCAGTGATGTAACAACTGACAACCCATGCCAAGAGGATGCTAAGGAAGCCTCAGCATCTTCGACAGGTTGGTCAGAAGCCGCCATGCCTCAAAAGCAGAAAGACAACCGCACCACATCACCCGGTCAGGGTGGTGGGACATTTATTATCGTTCTAGAAATGGCCAGATAGGGCCCATGCATCATCCCGGCCGGTGCCTAATCTCAAAGGAAGCCCTTTTCCAAGCCCTAGGCCTAAGCCCTTACTGGCGTCCTAATTAAGCCGCGATCGGGACACGCAAAGACAGAGAGGCATGCTTCGATAGACTGAAAGAAACTTCCTGAACCGCGGTGTCTGAGCTGGCTGCATGATTGCTGCATCCAAGAACCGCCTCATACCTGAGACCTTTTGCTGCATGACAGTAACATGTGAATGCAACCTGCTACTTGCCAACACGCATGGGGAAAAACAAAAACTGAAAGGCAACAAAAAAGATGCGAATTTGTCGATCAGATGCTAACCTGAATTGCTTTCCATTCCAATACGGCTTCGTTCCACTGGGTTTCACAAAGAGTGCCCAATTGATGCAAAAGTTAACGTATGCAAAAGTTTCCGGTGACAACCTTGAAACAAATGAATGACCGTTTTTGCCCATTCACAATGGCAGGTACACCAGGATGCATAGCTGCATAGCTTCGTTGTGCACTGTAGCATGACGGAGCCGCCCCTGCATCTGGGTGAATAAACTAAGTGCCAGTGTGACTTGGCACACAAAATTCGGGGTGGGTGCTCCTACAACCAACGTGCAGACGCAACGCTCCGAGGGTCCCACACTGTGCACAGCCCCCATAAGCCCAAAGACTTTGGAAATTGTGCTCCACGGAACCGTTTGCCTTGCGGTGCAGCAGCTAGCAGACATTATTGCGGTTGGCATCGGTGCGGGATGGCTGCGACAAATTTAGTAACCGACGGGGCTCGCATAACCAAGCTTCGAAGGCCTTCATCGGCCAGACTGAAAGAATCATCACTGCACTGTGGAGGAGGGGCTGGAACCCTGCCTGGGTGGTGCTTCAGGACTTGGTATTGCAAGTCCAAGTAGGGTGGCAGCTGATTCATGAACCTTGCGCTGCAAGTGGTTCTTGAATTTCCGTTATGATGTTATGCCATGTCTTGCAAAACTTAAACTTGCCTCTCTAAAGCGGTAGCAACCGACACCCCGATAACCACTGGAACGGTGCCAAAGAGGTGATAGGTGGCAGGCAAACCCCGAAATGCCCTGAGCCCTGCTGGATGGGGAGGAGGCACAAGCAGTGACACGAAAGACAAGTCTCGGTGTGAACCCTTTCGGTGTTTATCCTACACAATGGACCGACCTCGAAAACTCAAAGCTCCACTTGCGGGAGAAACCGCTCGGCCACTGACAGCCCACCCTCTGCAAACAGTGGCCGAAGACGTAGTTGTGCCGACGAGAAGCTGGAGCATCGTGTAGATTCCTGTACAGCTATCAGTGCATCATTCCGTCTGGTCGTGATGAGACGGCGCCTGCCAGCACGATGCCGTGAAGGATCATGGCCAGGATTCCAGACACCAGTCCTTGCCTCGCTCCATCACAAGCATGAAGAAGGCTCTGCAAGCCATACATTCACCGTCTTGAAACCAAGCCTCAAGTAGAGGCTTACAACCTCGGCAACAGGCCACTGCGACGACTTGCTCGACTCATAGATAGTCAGGTCCCGACAGGCCATGCCAACCTCAGGCCCAACGCATTCAGCATCTGTTGCAATCTTTGGCCCTTCCGTCGGGAGGCATGGATTGCATCCGAGCGACCACGGAGCAAGTGGAAGGAGAAAGTCGTAGAGGTGCACACACCTTTCGATCCAAGCACTGCTTTGGCACGGCGGCACAACTCGAGACTGGATTTGCACCCTGTCAGTCGCGCTCGCTGCAAGTCAGATCCATATTCTTGTGCTTTGGCCTGTCAGAAACAAGAGGTACGTTCGAGGCCCGGGGAGCGAGAAGCCACTGTTTCTTCCAGGCCCGGGTCTTGTCATCGAAGGCTTTGCCATACTTCTCACGGTACCTTCATCACCACAATAAGACCTGGAGGAAAGGAAATCTTGTCTTCAGAGGTCACGCGGGCAGCTTCTTGGCCAGCCTCTCCAAGTCCGAGCACTTCGAAGACTATAAGAGCTCCGCAAAATGCCGAGCCGCTGGCGTACCCAAGAAAAAGCAGCCTCCAGAGTCAGCCTTTGCAGTGTCCGACATGACACGATCACCACAAAGACCACTAGCAGAGTTGAATTGCAGAGGAGTTTCGATGCTCAAGGCTTCGTTCTTCCATTCAGCGAGAACCTGAGGCAACGGCAGAGTGAAAACCTGCGGCCAAACATTCCCAGTCGACATGGGCGACCACCAGTTTGAGAGTGTGTAGTTGTGCATGAAGCTTTATCCAGATCTCCAAATTCTGGGGACGCTAGAAGGTGAGGTCATGTCCAATCTGGGCCCTCAACCAGCTCGGAGTTCGTGGACTCCAAGTCCTCGCGCTTCTTCTGAAGGCACTGCCGCAACCTGCGCGGCATTCGCATTTTCGTGAAACCCCTCCCGCTTTTGTTCTGCTGCAGCAGGTGGCACTATTGCATGGATGATTTCTCAACATGTGCTCCGTACTGGGGGTGATGCCGACGCAAGAATGTTTCATCCAGATGAAACTCCTGCCGAACGCCGAACGTCAGGTTGGACAGTGCGGAGGGTTTGCGGCTTGTTTTCACGCGCACACAAGCGTGCATGTATGTACCCATGCATGTGCAATCATGTACATACAAGCTGAAACAATAAGTTCTGTCGTGTTATGTTATGTCATGCTCTGTTGTGCTATGATTCATTGATGCTCCGGCTGCTAATGTTTCGTTACTTATGTTGTGCTACGCCAGTAATGACTGCAATGTCTGCACGTGGCTTTGTACCGTTCGTACATGGTGTGCGTATACAAGTATGCAAGTATGTATGTAGGTACATGTAAATGCATCCATGCACGCATCCATGCATGGATGCACGGATGCACGGATGCATGGATGTATGGATGCATGGATGCCAGCATGTGCGTGCCTGCATGCCTGCGTGCCTGCATGCATGGATGGATGGATGGATGGACGGATGGATGCATGCACAGGTGCATGCATGCATGGATGGATGGATGGATGCATGAATGAATGTGTGTGTATATGTATGTGTATAGGTATATGTAACCTGCAATGCGTCATATGTTTTATGACACCAGCAACATGCAACATGTAACATGTGTATATGTGTGTGCATGTGTGCGGTACTTGTATATGTAATAAGTGCAACAGGTGATATGGAATATGCAATATCTATTAAATACTAACCCATGCAATAAGTAACATGTACGTGAGATGAATACATATATATATATATATATATATATACAGAAATACTCTCACATATGTATCTGTACAACATCTGTATGTGTAAATTTACTATGTGAAATGTAACCAAGGATGGGCAATATGCAATTACGGAGTGTGCAACCTGCAACATGTAACATGTAGTATGTAACATTCAACCTGTAGCCTATATACACATACACACGCACATATACACGCTGGTGCCCCATAAACTCAGATGTGAATCTAAATATACTGCCAAAGACACCCAGTTTGGGGCTGTATCAATAAAACGGAACACGGGTCCCAGAACCAAGATATTCAGCGAATTGTTGGCGGAGTCTCACTTGGCTCTCGCGGTATTGCACAGCAGCCGTCCTTAATCACCTTGTCGCGTTCCTCCCTGATCGACTCCTCTGCCTTATCCAAGGAGGCCGGCAGCTTCGCAGAGGGAAGCTGACCGGACAAAGCCTCCCGCAACGAGGCAAGAAGAAGCGTGAAACTGCAATGGCCCTCATGCAATGGTTCCTCGGAATGGGCACCGAAGCTCTCGCAGAGTTGGGCGATATGTGAATCTTCGAACGCTTCTCTGGCCTCGTTCAGATTACCGGGAAAAGATGCACATGGTATCTGAAGCCAAGACCAAGATCTGGGCCAATGAAACGCTGAAATGGTCGTTCTGCACCAGGTCTACATACATCCGGAGGTGAGCAGCAATGCTGGCAGCCTGCACTGTGAAACAACTTTTGGCTGAGATGAACTGGGGAAAACAGTCTGCTCTCCTGCAGAGGTCTCGCGTTCTGCAGCTCCTTCAACCTTAAGTTTTGAAAGCAGTGTGCAGCACTTCAGCTGCGCAGGAGGTGTGGCAGTCTAGTCAACTCGCAGCACCCAAGGAACAGAAGATCACGCAATGTCCGAGTGGACTCGATGTACTCGGGAAGGAGTTCCTGCGGCAGACCAGCCCGAAATCGAAACCGGTCAAAGAGTTCTAAAGAGTTCTTGTTATAGCAGCCGCAACATGTCGAAGCCATATCAACACCATACCCAACAGAACAATCACACAGAAGTGTACAAAACTGTACTTATAGGATGTGCTGGTCGGGCTTTGGCTACTCGAGGTCTTGGTCGTGCTGTAGCGGAAGTGCCGGCGTGTATGACAGAATAAGAAAAAACTCGTAACGTCCAAGAAGTCCAAACCAGGACCTGGACGCTTTGAGCGCTGGCTCTGCCAGCAAGCTAAGGGGGTCAAGTTTGCTCGCTTCGTCAGTGGGAAGTCCGATAACGATGATGATTATGAAGGCGGTGTGTGCGCTCTCAGAAAAACCCAGAAGCTTGTCCCCTTATCGCGAGATGTTTGTCATGACGGTATGTGCAGATCTAGGCCGTTCTAAACCTGGCGAGAAGGGGGGGAGCGCAGCTCCCAGCCTGCAAGCGCGCTGGCATACCCACAAGCTCACCACGTCGGCCAGGACCGGAATAGCGTGGCAGGGTGAAACCAACTACCCTAAATGGAGTGTCGCTCAACAGGGCAAATCGTGTACAGAACAGCCGTACACCCTCAACAGCATGAAGGCGGCGAAACCGGAAACTTGTTTGTGAAGGAAAATCTGAAACCTAACATTTTTTCGCGCAGATTCGAAACGAAATGGAATCTGCCGCCGTATTGCGCAACCCGAAACCATAAAAGGGGGGCAAAGTAGGGCTCGCCGGAGTGCCAAGTACAGAAAATCGTGAGAGCCCACAAACGTTGAGATAGCCAAACCCGAAAAATCGAAAACAACATAACGGATGACGATGCTGAAGTCAAGAAAGTCGCATCCCTAAAGAATCGTGTTGGTCATCGCTCTCCCATGAAATTTGACCATCAGAGACTCGGACATTCGTGCTTGATACTTGCTCGATGCAAGTCCCGTCTGAATCTGAAACCATGCAGGACCACAATTGTGTCGTGGCGTTCAGCAGACAAACCCAACAGCCCTAAAACGGGTGGAGTGACAAACTGCAAACCAAAACATAACTTCGGCTGGCGAAACCCGAAACGCTGAAAAGGGGTGCTGGGTGGCGAATCCCCGTGCTGCGTGCATGATGACCTGTGAAAGCCACTTTGAGGCGGCAGAACGCAGTTCCCCAGACGCCTCACTGAATTGAACTACTAGCTCGCAAAGTGCAGTTCCAAACACTTTTCACTCCACGTCTCGGCAAACAGAGCATGTCGCAGGAGCTGCCAGCATTGGAAAAAAGCCAAGGACTCCGGATTCCAGGAATTGCAACAGCTAAACTGGAAGCTTTTGCTTGACAGAACCCGTTATAAACGGAGCCGTTTTACAAAGCCGGCAAAGGTATCCCTCAGCTGCACCGGCTTTGGCAATAGAAACAAAGGCGGCAATCATAATCTCCTCCAGGGGCGGGGGCAAGGCTCTGTGAGAAGGCTAGAAAGCAACAGCCTCTTGGCAAGAAGCCAAAAGCTCGGGCATTCAAGAGCTGCAGGCTTTGGCAAGAAGCCAAGGACTCCGGATTCCAGGATTTGGCATGTCCACGTCAGCAACCTCCACATCCTAAAAACCCAAACGCTCGAACCGGGCGTTGTGCCGCAGGCACGGCCGTAGGAGCTCCCCGGAAATGCTGCTTTTACTGGCAGGCGCGGCACTTTCGCAGTGTTGCAAGAAGAGAAACGTCCTGAAGTCCAGGTGGCTACTTTTTCAAAAATAGCCACCTCAGCTTTAAGCCCTTTCCAGGGCTTCAAAGAGCCTTGAAGTTGATTTGCTTGGCCAGCGTGGGACTTCGTGCATGTCGGAGGATTTTGGTGATTTGTTCGTGGGAGGCTGATTTTGGCAGAATTTGTGCTCTATGAATTGGTGTTGCGGGCATGGATGGGGTCTGATCTGGACGTTATCATGGTTGGGACATGGATGCTCTGCGGGCATGGATGGGGTCTGGTCTGGACGTTATCATGGTTGGGACATGGATGCTCTGCGGGCATGGATGGGCTCTGATCTGGACGTTATCATGGTTGGGACATGGATGCTCTGCGGGCATGGATGGGGCCTGATCTGGACGTTATCATGGTTGGCACGTGGATGCTTTGCGGGCATGGATGGGGTCTGATCTGGACGTTATCATGGTTGGGACATGGATGCTCTGCGAGCATGGATGGGGTCTGATCTGGACGTTATCATGGTTGGGACATGGATGCTCTGCGGGCACGGATGGGGTCTGATCTGGACGTTATCATGGTTGGGACATGGATGCTCTGCGGGCATGGATGGGGTCTGATCTGGACGTTATCATGGTTGGGACATGGATGCTCTGCGGGATCGGATACTGGGCACCCGGATGGAGTCCGAGTGCGGCGTAACGGCTGGTTCGAGGGCTAAACTCTTTCCCGGATATTGCCGGATACAGCAGCCCTGCACCCCCTAAAGAAGTTGGATGGTGACACTGCAAGACCTGTGCGATTGGCAACGCCGGCTGAAGGCATCTAAGTTATAAAACTGAAGGCTACTGGTCAAGAAACCCGAAACCCGGGAGAGCAACCAAACCAGAAACCCGACATCATGGATAACGATACTGATTTCAAGAAAAGCGAATCCCTAGAGAACGGTGTCGGGATGTGTCGGGCATCGCTCTCCCATGGAACTTGGCAATCAAAGACTCGCACATTCGTGCTTGATTTTTGCGTGATGCAAGTCCGTCTGAATCCCGCAGAGGGAGCGCAAGTAAGGTAGTGCTGGGCAAAGTGCCGGGTGGAGAAACTTAAAAAATCTTACATGCTGCAACTTTGCTGCAATTCCTAAACCCTAAAAACGAGCGTCAGAAAAAGCAGCGCTAAGCCGCTAAGCTTTACAACAAGTGTCGGCTCTTGTCGAATGGTGAAACCGCAAGACTTAAACCCTGAATTCAACGGGATGCAGGGCGACCGAAACCTCAAGTGTAACATGAAGCAGCGCGACGCGACACGGATGACGAAAGCCAGCTCAAGAAACTCGAAACCCTGTGAGAAGGGTGTTGAGTGTCGCCCTCCCGCGAAATTTGGCGATTACAAACTTGGGCAGTCGTGCTTGATACCTGTTTGATGCAATTCCGTGCGAACCCAGGCACCGGAAAAAAAGGTGCATGCCAAAACCAGCTACCCTAAATGTAGTGCCACTGGAGTGCGGTTCAAAAGGACAAACCGTGCTGAGTGGGGAAAAGTTGCACTGGTCGCGAATCTCACCGCCGGGGCGTGCGTACACTGGCGCCACCTTCATTACGCCGGTAAAGTAGTGTCGGATGGCGACATCCTCAAAGCTACATGATTTCCGAGTGGGGCACCCAGAAACCTTGCAACAAAGTGTTCGGCAGTGAAGCGCAACTGTCAAAGGAGCCCACAAAGGTGCAACCATGGGCACTGAAAGAAATGCAGCACGGTGCACGTGAAAGCCAAGTGGCCAAACCCGAAACCCTTGACAAGGGGCCCTGGGTGGAAACTTGCAAACGGGACGCAAGCTGGTGCGGCATGGTGCAACCCGAAACCACAAAAGGAGCGTGCGGCATGGAAAACGAAATTTAGCTTCCGTGGCAATAACAACAACCGACAAGAGTCTTACAGGGTACCGGACTGGAAAAAAAATTTCCTGATTTTGTGGGATGCTGGAGACGCAAGGCCTTTGCAGTGCCTGCTGGAGGCTCCTAAACCCTAAGACAAAGGCTGCAGGCGGCGATGCACGAAACTCGAAGACTAGCCTGAAGTAGGCAAACCTGACACCCGAAAAAGACAGGACGGATGACAAACTCAGGAAAAACAGATCCCTGTATAACGGACATCGTTCTCCAAATAAATTTGGCAATCAGAGATTCGGACATTCGTGCTTGGTGCTTGCTTGATACAAGTCGTGGCATGCCGAAACCAGCTACCCTAAATGGAATGCTGCTTGCAAACAAACCAGACAGCCTAAGAAGGTGTGAATTCAGAAACTGTAAACCAAATCAAAAAAACGGTGCCGGGTGGCGAAACCCGAAACCCTGCGAGGGGGCTCTGGGTGGCGAGCCCCATCTGACGCAACACTAGGCGAAACCCGAAACCATAACAACGTGCATTGGGTGGCCAGGTCTGACATCTACAAACGGAACGACAGCTGGTGCCACCCGATGCACCTTGTTATGGTTTCGGGTTTCGCCCAGTGTTGCCGCGTCAGATGGGGCTCGCCACCCAGAGCCCCCTCGCAGGGTTTCGGGTTTCGCCACCCGGCACCGTTTTTGTTTCATTGGTTTACAATTTCTGAATTCACACCTTCTTAGGCTGTCTGGTTTGTTTGCAAGCAGCACTCCATTTAGGGTAGCTGGTTTCGGCATGCCACGACTTGTATCAAGCAAACACCAAGCACGAATGTCCGAATCTCTGGTGGAAACTTGCAAACGGGACGCAAGCTGGTGCGGCATGGTGCAACCCGAAACCACAAAAGGAGCGTGCGGCGTGGAAAACGAAATTTAGCTTCCGTGGCAATAACAACAACCGACAAGAGTCTTACAGGGTACCGGACTGGAAAAAAATTTCCTGATTTTGTGGGATGCTGGAGACGCAAGGCCTTTGCAGTGCCTGCTGGAGGCTCCTAAACCCTAAAACAAAGGCTGCAGGCGGCGATGCACGAAACTCGAAGACTAGCCTGAAGGAACTCAGGAAAACGGATCCCTGTATAACGGACATCGTTCTCCAAATAAATTTGGCAATCAGAGATTCGGACATTCGTGCTTGGTGTTTGCTCGATACAAGTCCGTCTGAATCCGAAACCACTCAAGACCCGAAACGTGTGGCATGCCGAAACCAGCTACCCTAAATGGAGTGCTGCTTGCAAACAAACCAGACAGCCTAAGAAAGTGTGAATTCAGAAACCGTAAACCAAACCAAAAAGGTGCCGGGCGGCGAAACCCGAAACCCTTAGAAGGGGCACTGGGTGGCGAATCGATGGAGCATGTGTACACTGACGCAACCCTAGCGGCGAAACCCGGAATCCTGGCAAAGTTCAGGGGGCACTGGGTGGCCATGTCTGACATC